TGGCTTCCTCTCAATCATCCCCATCTGTCCACAAGAATAGAACCAGAGAGCCGGAACAGCAAAAATCTGAAAGAAATCCAAAACCAGGGGCTGCCTGTTGGCAGGTTACTAATCAGAAGCCAATAAGGACTTCAGCAGTGCCAAAGCCCTGTTCTCAAAGAGTCAACAAGTTTGCAAAGACACATATCTTTCTCTCCCTCTTTAAATCTTTTTATTGAAGTACTATAGGCCCGATGCACAAATTCGTGCATGGGTGGGGTCCCTTGGCCTGGCCGGTGATCAGGACCAATCGGGGCTGCCTCCCACCCCAATCAGGGCCCGGGGCCGATTGAGGCGGGCCAGCCAGTGGGAGGGACCATGGAAGGTTGGCCGGCTGACCTACCCCGATTGGCCCCGGGGCAACCAGCTGGGGGGAGAGGCCGCCCCTTCAGGCCTATTGGGGTGGGCAGGCCCAGGGAAGGGGACACGGGAAGTTGGCCAGCCAGCCCACCCCAGTCAGGGCCAATGGGGGGCGGGCCTTGGGGGAAGGGGTTCCGGATTTCTTAAGTTTTCCGGGGGGGGGGGGAGGGGGGGGGCGGGAGGGGGGAGGGGCCGCAGGAGGTTGGCTGTGGGAGCACACTGACCACTAGGGGTAGCTCTTGTGTTAAGCATCTGCCCCCTGGTGGTCAGTGCGGTCACTTAGGCTTTTACATATATAGATGATGTAGAACAATGTCCACAGTCCTTCACATCCAAAGAGTCCCAACCACAGATGCAAAACCCAGGGATATGGAAGGCTGACTGTAAATTTACTGAAAAAAAAAATCCAGGTAGAAGTGGACCCACGCAGTTCAAATCTGCTGTTCAAGGGTCAACTGTATATAGCAAGCTAGGTAGTAATAAGTGCCATACAGAAAAAATAAAGCAGAGAAAAATTAATCTATGATAACAAAAGGTAGATTAGTGGTTGCAAAGGAACTAGAGTGAAGAGAGGACATAAGGAAACTTTTAGGGGGTGCTGAACACTGTCTCTTGACTGTCATGGTGATTTCACATTGCACAATTCAAAGGGGTACAGTTTACTGTATGAAAAGTATAGCTCAATAAAGTTTTTTAAAATAAAGCAGTAAGTGGAGAACTAAACCTTTAGAGAGGTGGTCAGTGAAAACCTTATTGGTGTGAATTTTCTTTTTAAAACGATCTCAGGAAAGTGGAAAACGTAACTATGCCAATATCTGAGGGAAGACCAATTAGGAGAAAGGAATAGCAAATGGACAGATCCTAAAGAGGAAGCATGCCTGGCATGTTCTAGGAATAAGTAAGGAGAATATGTGTCTAGCTAACGTAGACTGAGTAAGGAAGAGCACTATTAGCCTGATTGAGGCCGAAACCGGTTTGGCTCAGTGGATAGAGCGTCAGCCTGCGGACTGGGGGGTCCCGGGTTCGGTTCCGGTCAAGGGCATGTACCTGGGTTGTGGGCACATCCCCAGTAGGGGATGTGCAGGAGGCAGCTGATCGATGTTTCTCTCTCATCGATGTTTCTAGCTCTATCTCTCTCCCTTCCTCTCTGTAAAAAATCAATAAAAAATATATTAAAAAAAAAAAACCTGATTGAGACAGTGACTAGAGTGAGATGAGAACCATGAATACATTTTCTGACTTGTGCTTTAACAGAATTACTCTACTGATACACTTCTATGTGTTGAGAAGAAGCTAAAAAGCAGATGCAGAGCAATCAGTTAGGAGGATGTTATTATAACCTAGAAGTGATAGTGATCTAAACATAATGAGCAGTGGTAAGAGGTAGTCAAATTTTAGATATATTTTAAAATTAAACCCAGCAATATTTAATGATGAATTGGATGTGGGTGTGATAAAAAAGAGAGGATATAAACTGGAAGAATGGAGGTGCCACTAAGATGAGAAAAAAATGCAGGACGAATAGGTTTGGAAGGCATATGAGGAACTTAGTTTGGAGCATATTCCATTTTTGATACCTTTTTACACTTAAGTAGAGTTTTCCAGATATATATTTATGTCATAAATATATAAATGAAATTTAGAAGAGAAATCCAGTTTGGAAATATAAATTTGTTAGGAGCTAGCCAACACATCATTTGTAGTAGTAGATTTACTAATTTGATGAAAATCATTCCGATGAAAAAGAAACATTTTGCCACTTTGGCTAACAAGGTCAAGGAAAAACCACAGAGATTTAAAAGCAGATTTAAAAATCCCTGTGACAGTATACCCAAAATTCAGATGGTGTATAAATTACTAAAATCAAAAGGCACATCCTATATAATAAAGAGGTAATATGCAAAATAACCCTCATGCCCTCACAAGATGGCTGCCTACGACCAGGCCAGCAGGGGGATTAGTGAGGGACGACCAAACGACTGAACAAGCAGGCTACGTGGGGCGACCAGGCCGGCAGAGGGGCCATGAGGGGTGACCAGGCTGGCGGGGGGGGGGGGGCAGTTGGGGGTGACCAGGCCGGCAGCAGGGGCAGTAAGAGGCGACCAGGCCAGCAGGGGGGGCAGTTAGGGGTGACCAGGACGGCAGGGGTGTGCAGTTGGGGGCAACCAGGCAGGCAGGGGGGCAGTAAGGGGTGACCAGGCCAGCAGTGGGGGCAATTGGGGGCAACCAAGGCAGCAAGGGGTGCAGTTAGGGGCGATCAGGCAGGCAGGCAGGTGAATGATTAGAAGCCAGCAGTCCAGTATTGTGAGAAGGATGTCCCACATTGGAGAGGGTGCAGGCTGGGCTGAGGGGAACCCTGCCCCGTGCACTAATTTCTAGTATTATTTATAAACCCCAGTTCAAGCAATTAGGAAGTACTATAAAAACTTTCTAGAAAGGCCGAAACCGGTTTGGCTCAGTGGATAGAGCGTCGGCCTGGGGACTGAAGGGTCCCGGGTTCGATTCCGGTCAAGGGCATGTACCTGGGTTGCAGGCACATCCCCAGTGGGAGATGTGCAGGAGGCGGCTGATTAATGTTTCTCTCTCATCCATGTTTCTAACTCTCTATCTCTCTCCCTTCCTCTCTGTAAAAAATCAATAAAATATATTTAAAAAAAAAAAAAAACTTTCTAGAAAGGTCTTAAATATGTATATTTTCATAATCCTACCCAAATGATAAATACTTAAGACAAAATAAAATAACCACTACTGCTATAATAAAAAATGAATAGTCTGGCCCTGGCTGGTATGGCTCAGTTAGTTGGGCATCATCCTGTGAACCAAAACTTCACCAGTTCAATTCCCAGTCAGGGCACATACCCAAGTTTTGTGGGTTCAATCCCCAGTCAGGGTGCAGACAGGAGGCAGCCAATTGTTTTTCTCTCACATTGATGTTTCTCTCTCTCTCTCTCCCCCTGTCCCTTCCTCTCTCTCTAAAATCAATAAAAACATATATTTTTTAAATGAATAGCCTGTACAAATTACTGGTGAAATATCTAAGTGTACTTATCGTACCTTGCTAATCTATCAGATTTTTGGTCTAGGAACAAAAGAAGGAAGCCCATATAACACAATGGTTAAGAGAATGGACTTTAAGGTCAGACACACCAAAGTCAACAAAGGCAATCGCATTATTTTATAATAACTGAATAAAAGTTCCTCCAAATATATGTATTTTAAAGAAGAATTACATTTTTTAAAAGGAATTATATTTTAAATTAAAAACAAAGTCATTACGGAACTACAGACAATGAAAAATTCTAAGAAATTCAAGAAGGGAATATAAGAGGAAACCTGACAGCTAAAAAATATTCTCATTATTAGAAGAAAATAATACATTTCTATTATAGAATGTAACAGAAGCACATATTTCATTATTTATCTGAAAAGAAGTCTGGTTAGCTAATTCAGTGATCTGGGTTTTCTCTTTCTAATTATAAGTTGCTGCTTTTTTTTCCCCCAAAAGATATACATACCAAGTCATTAAAAGTCTGATCTGGCAGTTAACTGGAGTACAAACCAAATAAGTTCAAGGAAAACCATGTAGATGCTAAAATTATCTGCTATAATGGCTGAAGGAAAAAGCAGCAGTGTTTTGTAAATAATCAAGATCAAATAAAAAATTACTGGTGGACTCAATGACAGTGATAGCACACTTAGAATCTTTAGGAACAATAAATACATTACAGTACTTAAGATATTGTCTCCTATACCTGACTGCCTATAAAGACGACTAGGTGAGATAGTTTTGTTTTTTGTTGTTTAATCTCAATTCCTGATCTTTATTTAGGATCTCAATCATCACCTTGTAGATTTTGACCAAATGCAAAGAATTCTGAGATCTAACCAAAATGAAGTAGTGGGCAACTTCGGTACAATCAACTTATTGCCCCATTTCAAAAAAAAATGTTGGCTAATCCTCACTGGAGGATATTTTTTCCACTGATTTTAGAGAGAGTGGAAGGGAGGAGGAGGAGGAGAGAGAGGAGAGAGAGGGGGAGGGAGAAGAGTGATGCGGATGTTGACAGAGGGAGAGGGAGAGGGAGAGGGGGAGGGAGAAGAGAGGGAGAGGGAGACGGAGAAGGAGAGGGAGAGGGAGAGGGAGAGGGAGAGGGAGAGGGAGAGGGAGAGGGAGAGAAACATCGATGTAAAAGAGCCACATCAATTGGTTGTCTCCTACATACGCCCCAATCGGGGCAGGGAACCTACAACCCAGTAACATACCCTTGACCAGAAACAAACCCAAGACCCTTTGGTTCACAGCCGACAGGGCCAACATTCCAACCACTGAGCAACGCTGGCCAGGGCTTATTGCCCCATTTTGTTCTTCTGCCATAGCTGCCAGAACGCTGAGGCTGGTTTCCAGACTCTATACATAATTGGGAGTATCCAAATTTTTAGATGAGTCCCTCTCTGAAGTGGGATTCTAAGAAACAGGTTCTTTTACTCTTTTCTCACTATTTCTGCAAAGAAAACTATTACATAAAATCAATTTGAATGTATTGCTAACATGTAAGAGAAAACATAGTTTAAAATGGGAAATTGATTGAAGTTGAACTCACCTGTCCACTTTTCCCTATTTCCAGCTCCATTATAGCAACAGGGGCGTGTATCTGAGCTGAGTGCCTCGACTGTGATTTGCCATCAACTCTCCAGCTTAGGCCCCGAAGCCCACTGTCCCAGCGGCTCTGGTTCATCAGGCTCTCTCGGATCTTTGTCTTATGACTCTTCCAGAATTTAGAAATGACAGCAGCTTGATCAGATGTGATCCCTCCTTGCTTTTTGGTTTGAGCAGTCAAGAATGCTTCCAGCTGGTTGAAATCCATGTCTGCAGATGCAACAGACTATAATGACAAAAAAAGTAATAATTTTGAATTTGGTAGATAACTAGAAAACGGTAGCTTCTTAACTACAGATCATAATTTGAATGATTCATAATCAATGAATAAGTTTCACAAAAGGGTCATCAAGTGACAGTAATGAGAATAAACTCTTCAGAAGTATAAAAATATTCCCTTTGCAAATATCAAATATCAGAAAAGCTACTGTTAAAAAAGTCATGCCATTCAAATTCTAGGTCAATAACTATAACCTAATTTTAAAAATCCAGTACTATAGTGGTGAAATAATAAAATAAAAAAATAAAAATCCTATATAATAAAAGCCTAATATGCTAAGTGTCCAACCATTCGTTTGACCGTTCGACCAGTCGCTATGACCACCAGGGGGGAGATGCTCCAAATGGTAGGTTAGCTTGCTGCTGAGGGACTAGGCAAGATGGACTGGACATACCCTGGAGCCATCCCATAGTCCCTCCCCAGCCCCGATCATGCACTGGTGGGGTCCCTTGGCCTGGTCTGTGGGAATTGGGCTGAAACCAGCTCTCCGACATCCCCCAAGGGGTCCCGGATTGCGAGAAGACGAAGGCAGGCCAAGGGACCCCACCAGTGCATGAAGCCGTGGACCGGGTCTCTAGTTTTAAAATAAGAGAGTAAAATTAATTAGCTCTCTGATGAAATATGGCATAATTTCAGTGCCTAGATACTAGTATCCAGACTTGGTTTAACATATTAAAACTGTACAATGTGTTGTCCATAATAAGCACTAAGTAAATTTCATTAAATGAATCATTATTTTAGCTTTGTAGTCTATCTTCAGCCAAACAGCTCATTCACAATAACATTACTCTGAAATTTTACACTACTTTATGCTTTTTCATAAATTTCAAAACTTAGTGCCACTGCTGTAACCGGTTTAGCTCAGTGGATAGAGCACTGGCCTGCGGACTCAAGGGTCCCAGGTTCGATTCCGGTTAAGGGCATGTACCTTGGTTGCGGGCATACTCCAGTTGGGAGTGTGCAGGAGGCAGCTGATCGATGTTTCTCTCTCATCGGTTTCTAACTCTCTATCCCTCTCCCTTCCTCTCTGTAAAAAATCAAAAAATATATATATATTTTAAAAAAAAGAAATGGTGGAGGAGGGAGAAGAGAAAGGGTGAAGGGAATGGCTCTTTGCTGGTATCCCCATATCTAAAAGAGAGCTTTAGGTTATAACCATAGATCTGTATGTGCATTTTTGTCAAGAACCTGTGTTTATTGAGGACAAGGTTTGTTCTTTATTTTGCAACATGAGCTTTTTAGATGTCCTGAGGTAACTGACAATGTATGATAAAAAAGTAGAGCTACCCCTAGCCGGTTTGGCTCAGGAAAGAACAACGTCGGCATGCAGACTAAAGGGTCCAGGGTTCAATTCCGATCAAGGGCACATGCCTGGGTTGTGGGCTTGATCCCCAGTAGGGGACGTGCAGGAGGCAGCCAATCAATGATTCTCTCTCATCATTGATGTTTCTATCTCTCTCTCCCTCTCCCTTCCTCTCTAAAATCAATAAAAAATATATATATATTTTTTAAAAAAAGGTAGAGCTAGTGCCCTGGCCAGTGTGCCTCGGTTGATTAGAGCATTATCCTGAGCACCGAAGGGCTGTGGGTTTGCCAGTCAGGGCACATACTCGGGTTGCAAGTTCCATCCCCCGGGGTCAGGGCATGTACAGGAGGCAACCAAACAATTGATGTTTTCTCTCTCTTTTCTCTCTCTCTCTTTCTCTCTCTCTCTCTCTCCCTCTCTCTCTCTCTCTCTCTCTCTCTCTCTCTATGAAAAACATATCCTTAGGTGAGGATTTAAAAAAAAAGTACAGCTAGTGAATTAACCAATTTGTAAGTATCTTTTAATTATAATTGATACAAAAGAGACATCTTGGACATGAAATTGTTAAACCATCTCAGAAACAGACATCAGGACTTGTTCATTAGGCTAGCAGTAAAGGGGCAGAAGGATGGATAAAGGGAAGGAGGTGTGTGGATGTGTTCATATTTACATCAGTGATGATAACCACTGATGTGTGTGCATCTCTTTTGGCTGTGCTATAGGAACACATTATTAAGTATTTTGGTGGAAACCTGCATCCTTGTTAACATTTTAAAATATAGATACTAATGAATTATCTTAGAAGCATCATGCTTTGTGTACTATTGCTTTGTATTTTATTTTTAACTGAACATTAAGGGAATGCAGTATTTTAATTGTAACTCTACCAATAGGTTTATCTAGAGGCCTGCTACTATTTTTGTCACCTATAAAATTTTTGTTGCCAAGAAAGGCAGGACCGTATTTTTTTCTTCCAGATTGAGTTGGTGCAGTGTATTTTTGGTTATCAAAATACTCGAATAGCTTTGGGACTTTGAAATAATAAATATCCATGATATGTGAAAAAGCCAACCGCCTGCAACCCCTCCCGCACAGCCGGCCACGCCCCCGATAGGTCCCCACCACCCCAATCGGTCCGTGGCCCCTCCCCCAAGCCAGCTCCGCTCCCAATCGGCCCCCCAACTCTGATCGGGGGCGGGGCCTGCCAGCCAATCACCCGTGGACCCTCCCCACAGCTGGCCTGGTCCTGATCAGGCCCCATCAAGGTGGACCAGCTGGCCAACTTCCCACCGTCCTCTCCTCCTCCCCACAGGCCCAGCCCCAATCCACCCTGATTGGGGCAGGCCGGCCAGACCCCACCCATGCATGAATTCCTGCACTGGGCCTCTAATTAAATATAATATAAAGAAAAGTAAATTAGATGTGTGGGAGTAGAAACCTCAGTATGGAATTTCAATAGAAAATTTAAGTTGCTTCATACCTCTATATCAAGGAATTTACTACATACTAAGCAACTCTGGATGATAAAAACAATATACTAGGAGATGCATCCTAAACATCAAATATAAAATTAATATATTAACATTTATTACCTTGATTGTAAGTGGAATCTACTGGGTTTCTTTAAAGGAAATCAAAGATACTAATGATATGAAATTCATTATCTCAGGTAAATGTTAGTGATTTTAAGAGATCAAAAAAGATTATTAGAGGAAGAGGAAGGACTATGTAAATAATGAATACATTTTCGGCCATCGTTCCTTTATGCACATATTCTTGTTTACTGTCAGGATACCCCTGCCTCCCTTCAATGTCAAGTCCAGGAGGGAGGAAAATTATCTGGTTCATTGATGTTCCAGTTCCAGGCACAAGAATTGACACAGAGCAAGTACTCGATAAATGTTCATTTGAATAAATAAGCATATTTTAAATAAATGATAAATGATTTGTAAATGATTTGTTTATTTCTTAAGTAACATATGCTCAGGATAAACAAAATGGAAATTAAGGCATTTCATAAATGGCAGCTTCTTTGTTTAAAAATAGGTCTGGCCCTAGCTGGTTTGGCTCAGTGGAGAGTGTCTGCCTGCAAACCGGGTTCGATTCTGGTCAAGGGCACATACTTGGGTTGCAGGCTCAATCCCCAGTAGGGGGCATGCAGGAGGCAGCCGATCAATGATTCTCATCATTGATATTTCTCTCTCTCTCTCTCTCTCTCTCTCTCTCTCTCTCCCTCCCTCCCTCCCTCCTCCCTCCCCCTCTCTGAAATCAATAAAAATATACATAAATAAATAAAAATAGGTCTGTAGAGCCCTGGCCAGTGTTCTCAGTGGTTAGAGTCTCGGCCCATGCACTGAAGGGTCACAGGTTCAATTCCTAGGGGGCTTGTGTGGAAGATAGCCAATCAATGTGTCTCTCTCACATTGATACCTTTCTATCTCTTCTCCCCACTCCCTCCCTTTTATCTGCTCTATCTAAAAAAAGGCAATGGAAAAATGTCCTTGGATGAGGATTAACAAAAAAGAAAAAAACTGTGGAATAGAGCTATACCACGATCAGATGTCATGACAGAGAATAATCCCATACTGGTATAAAAAGACTTTAAAAGTGAATTATACATAAAGCACACATAACACAACCCATTCCAAAATTTTTACAATTTAGCATAATATGGCTTTTTTAAAAAAGGAATTCATTACAATAAAACTTTATTAAAGATAAACCATAATAGTCAAAATTTATAAAAACTATAATCTGAGTTAAAACAAAGCCAAAAAATGTGGGTGTTTTATTTTTTAGGTATTAAAGCTTTATTAATTTTTTAAAGAAAAGTAAAAAAACATAAATTTGATATTTCGCTTTAAATGAATATTGTATAATTATTAAAATAGACTATTTACCACTGAGACACATATTAATAAAAGTAATACTATCCAATATATAGCTTCCCATAAATTAAGACGTGTAAAATTTTTATCACATTTCAATATAACATTATACTACTGATACTTTGATAGTGGGTGGTGGGTGTTTTATTAGGAAAAACAACAACTTGATTTTTCATATTTCTGTAATTTAAAATAAGGATCCATTCAGACAGAACACATCATTTACACTTTTCTTATGGTATTTACCATATGATATAGGATACTTTAAGACAGGGACTGTGACATTCACCTTTGTGTACAAAGCAGATACAGCACATTCCAGGCCCAGAAATATTTGATGGCTAAATTACAGAGGAAATTTTCTTTAAAATCTCCTTACTCAGGAACTCCTTCAATCGAAGTCAAGTTTCTAGACCCAGAATAGTTGCTTTGAGAAAAGGAGAACCAAAAATAGATTTTCAATCAATAGGGGTTCTGCCCTAAACTAAGAGAAAAAGAAAAAAACTTTCAGAACACCTCATTACATGCCATTTGAGCTTATTAAAATACTTTGCAAACTCCAGCTGGTAATCTGTAATTGCTGCTTTATCATGTGATGTCCAGTGACATTAAAAAGTAACATCACACAGCTCTAGCTGGTTTGGCTCAGTGGATAGAGCGTCAGCCTGCTGATTAAAGGGGATATGCCCAGGTTGCAGGGCTCAATCCCCAGTAGGGGGTGTGCAGGAGGCAGTCAATCAATGATTCTCTCT